GGAAAAAAAACGACCTGAAGATTGAGTGGAGCTGTAATAATTTCGGTTCTGTATTACGGTGTGATAATTTGAATAATATCAATCAAAAATTATAGTATATAAGTTATTTTTTTACCAAAAGAAATGAATTACCGGGTATACAAATAAAATATTTACTAGCTTGGATACTTCTGCTTTCTACTACAATAAAATGGTATTTTATCGTCGACCGAAAAAATTAATTCACGAGCGATGAAATCGCGAGTGAATTAATTTCAAGAGGCGATAATGCAATTTTATCGTCGTGTATAAAACAATATTTTATTTCCATTAGCGAGTTATGTTTTAAAAAATATTCAGAAATTATTATTTCAAGGAATATATTAGGAGTAGAAAAAAATATTTTACTGGTTTGGCGTTGGTTGCTATGTAATTTGACAAATAAATGAAGCTGTATCTTTAGTTGTCAGTTTTGAGTCAATATTTTTTAATTCTCTTTCGTGTCGATTGCTGATTGAATTGGAGCCAGAAATGGCTCAAAACGAAATAAGTAAATTACCAACAGATATTCAGGCTGAGGCGACAAACGCCATATGCAAACTACTTCCATTTAAATCCCGAATAACTTATGAAAAGGAATACAAAAATTTAAAAAAATGCAAGCATTTAAAAAACATGCGAGAAGAAATAAAGTTTTTAACCTATCCTCGCTGTTAAAGTATCATTTAATCTACCTTTTCGGTTAAAGTACTATTTTATCTACTATTTTTGATAGATATAAGGCAATTTTAACAGTTGCTATGGAACAAAGTAAATAATCAATCTTAAAACTATACAGATAGTTCATAATCATAAGCGAGTATCTGTTTACTGAGCCACCGTCATGCTACTAAATCTAATTAAAAATGGATATGGAATAAAAAAATCTCTAATCTCTTTCAGAGATCTTCAGTCGGGATTAAAAATCCTTAATCTTTGAGCTCGTACTAGACATATATTATGTAAAGTGAATCTAAGAACCCTCTCTACACTGATAAAAATAATTCTAGTAATTTCTTGAAAAAAGCCTGGGTACCACTGAAACAAATATGCAAAAAAAATTAGAAAGCTTTTTGTAAAACACCACTTTGTAGAATACAAAAGGAAATCAGTTTGTCAGTAGATTTTTCTGGTGAAGAAATTTACTTAACCAACAAAAAATATTTAAAAAGTACATGTACTGCCAAAATGTCATTTTACTGCCAAGCGACTGCCAATGACTGCGAAGAAATTGATGAAATGACTTCTTATCGGTGAACTTAAGCTTAAACTGGGCTTTTAATCATCTTTTAATTGCATACTACAAGAAAAATATACCTATATAGAATTGCCGAATTCCAGTTTTTCACAGTTTACAGGAATACTGGAATCAGTTAACTGGAATTTAAGATATATTTGTACAACAAGGCCTAAATATATCATCTCCAGTACTATTTTTAGTTTTATTGTCATTAAATTAGTAATTTTATGAATTTGAAAATAAGAGCAATTGAAGTACGACAGAGTCACCATTTTAGTTTTCTAACTAAGGATAACTAAGGATTCTAATATTCTATAAACTTGAAGAGAAAATTTTTATGTGTGTATGCTTTTTTTCTTCCTATAAACCAAAGTAGACGAGGCCGACGATGAGAAACGGTCGCTTCTCTATTTTTTTGCCTCTTTCTCTCGAGTAAACTGGCCGCTGAACTGGAGGAATTTAAATCGGGAATCAAACAGTAGCGGAGCGGAGGCGACATCCTGGCCGGCCGGGCGGAATGGGATGGGCGAAGATGAGGTGTCCCGCGGGGTATCAAAACAGGCACGGACTGGCAACAACCAGGACACATCCGTTTTACAATACTTTCCGTTACTTTTTTATTTTTAAATAAATAAAGTTCAATATTTTTAGGATTCCGTACCCAAAGGGTAAAAACGGGAACCCTATTACTAAGACTTCGCTGTCCGTCCGTCCGTCCGTCTGTCACAAAGGTCTATCTTATGAACCGTTATAGCTAGACAGTTGAAATTTTCACAGATAATGTATCTATGTTGCCGCTATAAGAACAAATACTAAAAACAGAATTAAATAAATGTTTATAAATAAAAAAGTACTTTCACTAATCATTATCTTTTAAGTAAGAATTTTACATAGAATCTTTCAAGTTTTCGGTGGCCGGGTAAATATAAAGTTGAATATAAAGTTGAATAGGGTAAATATAATTTAGGGTAAATATAAAGTTGAATATCTCTTGAACTAAAAAACATTTTGAGATGCGGTTTGGACCAGGTTTTAGATGCATCTATTGTGATTAAGATGCTATGTGGGTTTCGAAAATATATTTAGCGAATTCTCGTATACAGGGTGTTTTATAAGAGTGTGAAAATTTGGTCAAGTATCTTTTTTACCGCAAAATACGACTTTTTTTTCGAAAAATATGCATTTTTAGTCATACGTATGGCCCTAAATGGTACAAAAAGCTGTGTGCATATGCCAAAAAATTATTGATATAGAGTGTATCTAAAAGCAGATAACTAACACTAGTTAAAAAAAACTTCAACATCAGAATAATATTTTTATTTATAAAATAAGTAGATAAATAATTATAATAAAATTGTTTAAAAAAGTTTATTTAATATAAAATATATTTTTTGAACACCCTGTATACATCGGTCCAAATTTCTGTACAGCTAGTTTAAGATACACGCTATATCAATATATTGTGGACCCATGCAAAATGTACAATGCCTTTTGTACCATTTAGGACCCAATGTATGACTATTGTTTACAGTCCCGCAATTTTGCGGATCCGCGGGATTGATTGCTTTAATCCCGCGGATTTGCGGGATTGAGATTTTGGTGCGGGATTGCATTCCCTAGCTATGACGTTGGAGCCTTAATAAGGCAGGTTCGAATCCTAGTCAAGGCGACATTTTTTTAATCGTTTTTTTTTTTAATTTTTACATATTTTTACGTATTTATTATTGATTAATACAATTTTTAGTAATGTGTTTATTCATTTTTTTTAAATTACTGTTACGTTTTTCGTCGGTTCCGTGTGGATAGAAAGTCACAATTTATTTAAACACTATTTATTTAACACTAATTAACAAAAACAATAACGATAAAAGACTTATAGAACTATTTACAAACGATTTATAACTAAGAATTTATTTTGAATTTTAGCGCGTCAACTCAACTGGTATATTTATAACTGCCCCCTGTAGGCCACCGCCGCCGGCTTTTATACCGACAGGTAAAGAACTCTAGAATTGTCCATAGATCGTTAGGTGCGTAGAGAAGGTTTTCGAATGTTCTCGTATGTACTAGTCCATTCCAGTGGGACTCGATTTTTCTCGAACGAATGAATCATTGCGGTGTCTATGCGATGTTAAGGTCATCCGAGGGCGGGCCATATTGTGAGGTTAGGTCGAGTCCACACCGGCCCCCAACATTACTTAGGGTGGCTGCAACGACCTCCCGTAATCCTGCGGTTAAAACAAAACAATTGGATTTTATATATAAAAAATAGCTGTTATGTTTTAACAGCATGATTACGGGACGTCGTTGCAGCCACCCTTATACGCGCATTCAAAATTTTAGCTAAAGCGGAAAAAAAGTTTATAATAATATAGTGTCTAATCTTGTATAGATAATGAATGGTACGGAACCCTTCGTGCGCGAGTCCGACTCGCACTTAACCAATTTTTTAAATATTGTGAATGATCGGAAACTAAAAAGTATAAAGTGTAATTGAAACCACTAATTTATTCCACTAATTGCGAGGTTCTGAATGAAGTTTTAGTTTTATTTATTTAGATGACTTCTATCTAGAAACCTAAAAATGTATACTGGACACTGGCCTCTGAGTACGACCCTGCCTCGGTACCATCATAACGCTAAACTGAACATCTATCACGAGCGGTTTCTTGGTACCCTTCATCTCGATTTCGGGCACACCATCGGCCCGACCCAGGCCTTTTATCATTTTTATTTAAACTCATGTCATTCAAATTAAGATTTCAAAAATTTCGATTCGGGCAGAGACGCGCCAGCTCAACCAAAAACGATGAGGTGCTCTCTGATGAGGAGGAGATGGAAAAAAACAACACGAAAAGCCCCGCGGATGACGGGTCTACTGTTTCGGCTTTCAGGAGCCAAAGCTTATAAACCTTCGCGTTTGGCTTTTTTAAGATTCTTTTTTTTTGTTCGCCTTTGTTGCGTTGTGACTTTTTAATTAACAGAATAAACAGTGAGAGAAACATAAAGAAAAAATGAGGAATTGAGTCTAAAAGTGTTGAAGAATGTCATGAAACAACCATCTGAAAATCTTTGATTATTCTCTCTCTTTGATGATTCTAATTCGTACAGTACGAAAAATTTAAATTTGTCAGGAAAAAAGAAAATACAACATTTCATGTATTAAACTTGTAATTTTTGTAAGATACGTCGAACCCAAGTACTATCATTGCCTTATTGATATCATTGGCAATTTATTACAAGTATTTTCCTTGCTTTTTTTTTAAAAACGATAAAAAATATATTTTAAATCAGTATCGCCATCTCAGTTATAGACTAGAATATCATGGATAAGAAGATATATGATTAATACAAAAAAAAACAATAATTTTGTCGTATTTTATTGTTTTCGACTGAAAAATCAAACATTTTAAGTAGTGTGTAGCTTGTAGCGCCATCTAGCCGCCACAATCGAAACTAATACATTGAAAATATATGGCGCCATCTATTAGGAAATAGTCACGGTTCCAATTAACAGAATTCTATTATATTAAAATGTGGCGCCATCTAAGAGATAATAGCCAAACTATAATTTATTAAAACTGTGGCACCATCTAGGAAAAAATAGTTTAAGTATATATTAAAAGATTTCTTTACTGTTAATATGGATAGTGCCATCTGTTAGCAAATAGCCTAAGTTATTTATTATTTTAAAACATGCGCCATCTCTCGCAGATAATCTAAATTAATAATTCTCTTTTTTCCTTTCGAACTCCAAATGCCATTGTCAAAATCATCTGGAAGAAAAGTTCTTTGTTTGTAAACAAGATAAATATAAATACAGATATTTTTAACTTTAAATAAGCGTCTATAGTGAAAATTACACGCCTTTTGTGCAGTTTTTACCCATGATTATATAAACTAGACGTTATATTCTCTTCATAAAGCTAGCAATAGAATGGAAGGTGAGTAGCGATAATCGTACTTATTGCGTCGTATTTTTGATTGGTATCTTCAAGGCACACATCGTATCTTTGTTGAAAGCGCTTATTTTTAATGCTTTCTTTAAAATTTCAGGAATGGCAGAGAAAAATATATCAAAAAATAGTCTGTATCCAGACCTTCCCACGCATGAACCTCATATAGCGACTTTGTACAATGTAAGTAAATAAAATTGTTACTATATAAATTTTTTAAACTATAATAACGGTATTCATAACATATTACAAGTATTTAGGTGCTATTTTTGCATATACTAGTTCTGTTTTATTGAACTCTTTAGAAGCTTCATAATAACTACATACAGTACAGAATAAAACAAGGTTTTACTTGATAAGATTTTATTTATACTCACAAATCGCATGTACCAGGAAGTCAAAAGGTCATTTCTGTGGTTGATATTGATATTGTTTGTTTTGTATATAAATATTCAAGGACAATGCCTTTGCCCATGACATTTTCCTCTTTAAACTAAAATTACAAATGCTCTATAATGTCTATATTAAATATTAGTTGACGACATTATTATTGAGCATTCGTAATTTTTACTTATCTTTACTTATTGCCCCCTAAAGGGATAAAAAAATCTATTGTGCTTTCACTGATGTTATAACCTTTGAACAAAATTTCATACTCTACTATACTTATATTCCCTGAAAGGGATGAATTTATAACTCAACTACAGGTATTATCTCTCTTATTTTTGTTTAATTTTAGGAACCACTAACAGCAACAAACAGCAACCCTCCAAATAAAAATAATACACCTCCTATTACACAAAACAACCCTTCTTCTACGCCTCCCGATTATAACTCCCTATATCCCTCACTAGAAGACGATATTAAACCTTCACCAATCCGTAAACACTACACCACATTTCTTCAAGAATACATCGAAAAAATCGAGGAAATCATCGATAAATTAAAAGAAATCAGGACTAGAGCTGAAAATTACCATTATAAAAACAACGTTGCCAAATTATCAGGCACGGTAGTGGGAACAACAGGAGTTGCACTGGTTGTAGGGTCTCTGGCATGGGCCCCTGTGACTGCAGGAAGTTCCCTGATACTAGGAGCAGGTTAGAGCATATTAAAAGTTATTTTTTACGCGGAAAAATAGTCTTTTACGTTTCACTATTTGTTACACGTAAAAACTATTTGCTACACCTAAAACACTATTTTTACGCATAAAAGAGTATTTTTACGTGTAAAAACTACTTGTTTCACATAAAAAGTTATTTTTACGCGTGAAAAATAGTTTTATAGGTTACATTTATTTGTTACAAGTAAAAACTATTTTTACGCATAACAAACTATTTGTTACTTGTAAAAAATTATTTGTTACACGCAAAAACTATTTTTACGTGTAAAAACTACTTATCACCCGTAAAAACCATTTTACGCGTAAAAAGTATTTTTAAATTTATTTTACTTTTTCAACATTTCAAACTATACTTTTCCAAACATGTCCTTCAGATTCTTCATTTTAATAACTGTTAGTATGAAGTTTCACTTCAAATACGCACACATAGTGCACACACATTTTTTTTGTTTAATTTAGTGTAAGAAAACACTAAATTTTCTTTTAAATTAACAATACTAGGTGGAGCAGTTATGTCAGTAACAGGCAGCCTGACTAATGTGATAACAGACTATGTAGACTATAAAACAACAGCAATCATTATGGAAGATATCAAAACCCTCTCTAAAGAAAAAGAAATGTTTGATGTGTGGATGCAAAAAAGTCTTTCCCACTTCAACGAGTGTATTGATCAGCTTGTCTCAGAAGGAGTAAGCAGGGATGTTGCCATTTCTACTATAATTGAAGGCAAATAATTATTTTTTCCGTCTTTGTCTTTTTTTTAAACAAAATATTTTTTAGGTATAGCAAAAGGTGCTATAAACATTTTAGAAAAACCAACTAATGCAGTTTTAACTACGTTGAGTACTGCCGCAAAATTGCATCATTTAGAACATATTGCCATTGGTACTTTGCCTGTTTTAGGCAAGACTTTCCATATAACTGAGAAGAGTTTTCAGTTTGTCTACAATGTGCTGGGATTAACAGGTATACACCGCTTTAAACTAAATAATAATGTTATGTTAACTAGTGTTGACAGGTAATGAAAAATCTACGTATGCAACTGACAATACACAGAATCCTAAGTTTTTCTTTTTTTTAATAATTTTGAAAAAATATATTTCATATTTTTGCTAACCTTTCTTTTTGAAACACTCTGTAAAATACAAAAACAGGCTTCAAATAAAAAATAAGTTGGGTTATATTATGTCAGTTTTTGAATTTATCAGGGATGGGTGGGTAAAAGTTCTTGGCGTAAAATCTATTTTTTACATGTAAAATAGTAAGTTGAAAAAATTATATTTCATGTTTTGCCTAAACTTTTTTTTTTTGAAACACTCTGTAAAATATAAAAAATGAGTAGGGCTATATTATGTCAGTTTTTTGAATTTATCAGGAATGGGTGGGTAAAAGTTCTTGGCGTAAAAAACTATTTTTACATGTAAAATAGTAAGTTGAAAAAAATTATATTTCATGTTTTGCCTAAACTTTTTTTTGCAACACTCTGTAAAATATAAAAAATGAGTAGGGCTATATTATGTCAGTTTTTTAATTTATCAGGGATGGCTGGGTAAAAGTTCTTGGCGTAAAAACTATTTTTACGTGTAAAATAGTAAGATGAAAAAATTATATTTAAAATTTTGCCTAAACTTTTTTTGAAACTCTATAAAATATAAAAAATGAGTAGGGCTATATTATGTCAGTTTTTGAATTTATCAGGGATGGGTGGGTAAAGTTCTTGGCGTAAAAACTATTTTTACGTGTAAAATAATAAGATGAAAAAATTATATTTCATGTTTTGCCTAAACTTTTTTGAAACTCTGTAAAATATAAAAAATGAGTAGGGCTATATTATGTCAGTTTTTTGAATTTATCAGGGATGGGTGGGTAAAGTCCTTGGCGTAAAAAACTATTTTTACGTGTAAAATAATAAGATGAAAAAAATTCATTACATGTTTTGCCTAAACTTTTTTGAAACTCTGTAAAATATATAAAATGAGTAGGGCTATATTATGTCAGTTTTTTTGAATTTATCAGGGATGGGTGGGTAAAAGTTCTTGGCGGAAAAAACTATTTTTACTGTAAAATAGTAAGATGAAAAAATTATATTTCATGTTTTGCCTAAACTTTTTTTTGAAACTGTAAAATATAAAAAATGAGTACGGCTATATTATGTCAGTTTTTGAATTTATCAGGGATGGGTGGGTAAAAGTTCTTGACGTAAAAAACTATTTTTACGTGTAAAATAATATAAGTTGAAAATTTCAAATGAACCTATGGTTCTAAAAATTTAGTACAAAGTACAAAATAAAAACTAAAATCGGCATTTATTACATTACAAGTTAAAATATTTGCACTTCTTTAAGAAACACCCTTTATAATCTTAAGGAGTTAATCTAAAATTTACATTTTTTAAGGGAGAACTATACCAACTTTAATGAAGGACTTCGCCAAAATATCAGGAATTTTATCTATGGCATTCGTAGTAGCCGATATATCTTTACTCATTAAAGATCTGTCTTCAGAACATCCCTCAGTAGAAATCATTGATAAGGGACTCAAACAGTTAGAGGTAAACTCGAAATAAAATGTTTTTTTTTTTCTAGATTTTAAAATAATTTTATACAGGATGAAAAAAATATTTTGGAAGACCTTTTGGACATAATTGTGGCAGCTGGAGGCTGTAAAGAACATGTCTTAGAAAAGGCTCTGAAAGATATGGGAATGATAGAAGACGAAGAATTATTACTCAAAGATTTCGTGGTTAATGATGAAGAATTTCACGAAAAAGCTGGAATTAATGCACAGTGATATATTTTTTAAAAAAATATCTTGTAAATAATTTTTTTACCTAATAGATTGCACAAATCTCAAGTAAAAAGACAAGAAATATATTTATTTTTAAGTACCTAGACCTAGAATGATTTAAATAAAATATACATTAATATACCCCTAAGAAAAAATGCTTTAAATAAAATATTTTAGGGTCAATCAGTGTTTTATTAAGTTTCCCATATTTTTCTACTCTTGTGTTTTAACTAAATTGTCAAAAACACGTTCAGGGTTAATCCTTAATAGAATAAAAAAACTGTCATAGTAGGTATTGAAGTCACATTAGAGTTCCAGTAATATAAAAAATATCATTCGGTTAAAAAAAACGGCATCAAGGTAGCTTTAAAGAGATAATTGTTCTTTATTTCTATCGGGTCGACCCCTAAACGCCATTTAATAAAAAAATACATAAAACTGATTTTTTCTGGGAATTTTAAAAACTTTGAGCCGCAGACTCTTGTTCTTAAATTTTCTTGACATAACGTATATTGAGGCTGTGCAATGTTGCCACTTCTTACGCTACCCACGTTCTTGACATTTGTGTAATAAGATTACAGTAATTTTAATTCATTGCACAAAAAAATATAAAAATTAATTTTATTCATTTCAGAACGTAATCCTAACAATTCTAGAAATAAAACGCATGGTATAAATATTTTTTACACTTATTTTTCAACAAATCTGAGGACTTAAGAGTTATTTTAAATTTTTAGAAATAGTTTCAATTGTAGAAAATACATGTTTTACTCACAAACATTTGTAATTTTTATATATTCTGTTTATGCTTACCTTTTCAATAAAAATTCAATATTATTTCTACTTTTTTTCACACGTCCAAATTGTATTAAACAGAAACCCACTTGCAGTATATTATTCTAAATTTTAGACATAAAATTCTATGAAAAAAAAAACAAAAAAAGAATTTTGAAAGCGAATTTTCAAATCTTGTCGATTTGGCAACACAGGACTTTGAAAAAGCTGTGAAACGGCTGAAATATCGGCGGTTCTCAAAATGTAAATCATTGATTCCCAAAATATCTCGGCGGCTCTCAAACTGTTATTTCCAAATTTACTTTAAACTGGAAAGTAGAAAATACATTTCCTTGGACAACAACTACCACCAATTAAAATAACTGGTCATTTAAGGTCCACCCTGTATAGCACAGCTGAAGCTAAAACGGTTTTCTTCCTACGCCACATGAAATAAAACACACGAAATAGTTTTTCTTATAAAAAATCTTATTACAATAATTATATAAGTATAAAAAATCTAGCCTAAATATTCAAAGTCTCACAGAACAAACTATATATTATATATAATCCGTATAATATTATGGCAAAACAACAACATATTTGAACGAGAGACAAGAGCCTAAAAAAACAATATTTATAGAGAATAAAATTGTGAAAAACCAAATAATAAATGTAGATATTCGAAAATAATAAATTATAAGTTATCTGTACAGGTTTATACTAAAATCAATCAATCGATAAAAAATTTTGATTCTTTATAACTTATTTTTTTCTTGTTTAAGAATTATAGAAAAGAAAAAAACGTGTAAAAGGAGAGGTAAAAAATGAGATTATATATCGTTTCTAATTTTCTCAGATCTTTATATTGAGTTTAAAATCAAGTTATAAGAATATCTAAGCTTTACAGTAATGAAATTTGTCATGTTTACTTATATCAGATCCATGTATTTTTATTTTAACTAACTTATTAATAATGGCACAGCTATTGTTACAAAAAAAAACGACGTTAAGTGATGTTCTAGGATTAACATTAAGTCTATATTTTCTTATTTTATCAGATATGGCTTGACTAACTGGCATCAATGTATTAGGAAAACACTTACTTTAATATCTGTTCTTGGTTCAAACCTATAATAAAAATTATTTTAAATCTAAAAAAACTTATCGGTATGTTAAAAATTGTGACGTATAGTATTTACAGACTTGTTAGAATCAATTAAATAAAAAAAACCACAGAATTTTTTTTTTATATTAGCAGTTTGACACCAGATATTTTTATTTTTCCTTTATTATTAAATATGTGTATTTTTAATTTTTCTTTGTGGATTGTCTGGTGTAAACTGATTTTACTTTTAAGACGATTATCCTAATATTTACAAGTTTTCGGTGTTTTGAGGGAAAATTTGCGACAACCGGCAACATGGCACGCGAAGAAAACACTATCTAACGGCCCTCCCTGGGTTGAAAAGTAAAATTTGCAAATTTTCCTTAAAAAGAAATTATTATGCTAAATTTTTTTCACGCAAAGCTTCTTGAATAGTCAAAGTTTATAGTAAAATGCGACGATATGGCAACGCTGTGTGTACAGAGCGGCCAGCATTAATTTCTAGTTAATTCTATTTTTGATTGAGTCGTTTCTGCTCATAAGCCTGTTTAAAATTAAAGACAGCCTTGACAATTAATGTCATATTATATTCAGGGATTAAATTCTCACCAACTTGTTATATTCTGACCGAAAAAAAACGGCGTCATTGTAACCTTTGAAATGACAATCGAAAAAAAGATATTATTGATTTCTGACAAAAAATTATGCTAATTTCAAACGAAACACAATAGACATCCCATAAAAACTATCGACTTTCATTTCAAAGGTTACCATGACGTCGATTTTTTTTAAAAATCTTACGACATTAAAAGCATCTCAACTTTTTAGTTTTAATCGAAAATACACTGGCTGAAAATAATTACAACTGACAGATGTCAAAGTCAGATCTATCCGTGGGTCAGAGTTATGTCAAGTGAATGTCATTGTCACTTAATTCAAACTTAAAAAGGAAAAAAAATGGCTTTGCTTAAAAAACAAAGAAAGACACAAATATTTTAATATTATCTTGTAAAATTCATTATCAATATTAATAGAGACAATAACCGATTTTTTTTATAATTTCAAGAGATTTTTCAGAAATTAGTATAAAATAACAAGAATTACATCTTTTCGAAATTTTTGTTTAAAGTGATTGTAAATATAAAAAATAATTAAACAAGTCTTGGAATACTCTGTAAAATTACATACTACAAAAAATATTGATCCCATTTTTTTAACAAGCTGCTATTTACTTAATCATTTATTTTGCGCCACCCTATATATTCGACATTCTGAAAAATTGAACTTATTTGCTATTATTGGGACACCTCACGTAAAAGTTATTTAGCCAAAAAATAGAGGTAAAACTAGAATTAAAATGCAATTATCCGTTCAAGCCTTATTTAACTATGTTTTTATCTACAGGGTGTCTCGAAAAGATCCCAAGAGAAAATCACTCACACACAGAATTTCTTCGACACGTCCAGCAACAACGAAAAAATAATCATTTTTAATAACAAATATTCATATTTATTGCAAACTTTCTTTTGTCACACCCTGTATATTTGCCATTGTGAAAATCAACTTGACTGCTTTTACTAGGGTATTAATAAAGTTATTCCGTCAAAAAATTTACCGTCGGTAAACACGAATTAAAATGCCAATTATCTATTCAAGACTTATTTAACTATGTTTTTACCTACAGGGTGTCTCAAAAAGATCCCAACAAATAAGAATTTTTCTTAAAAAAAATCACACACACTGAATTTTTCCAGCATGTCCAGTAACAAAAAAATCATTTTAATAAAAAATATTCCCATTTGTTGCAAAACTTTTTTCTGTCACACCCTGTATATTTACCATTCCAATAATTAACTTTACTGCTTTTACTGGGACACCTGATAAAGTTATTCGTTTGTCAAAAAATTAAGGTAAACTTGAATTTTATGTTACAGTGTGCCCCAAAAAGATCCCAACAAATAAGAATTTTTCTTTTAATAAAAAAAATCTTCCCATTTGTTGCAAACGTTTTTTGCATCACCCTGTATACACATATACCATTCCGATAATTAACTTGCTTTTACTGGGACACCTGATCAAGTTATTCGTTTGTCAAAAAATTAAGGTAAACTTGAATTTTATGTACAGTGTGTCCCAAAAAGACCCCAACAAATAAGAATTTTTCTTAAAAAAAAATCACTCACACACACTGAATTTCTCCAGCATGTCCAGTAGCAAAAAACCTTCCCATTTGTTGCAAACCTTTTTTGTCACACCCTGTATATTAACCATTCCAATATTAACTTGACTCAACTTGACTTTTTTTACAAGGACACCTGATAAAGTTATTTGTTTGTCCAAAAATAGAGGTAAACTTGAAATAAAATGCAAATATCCATTCAAGACCCATTTAACTGTGTTTTTATGTACAGTGTGTGACAAAAAACGTCCGTAAAGAAATGAGATTTTTTTTTAACAACTTTTAGAAAAAGTACCTAAAATTCCTTCAGTGTGTATCATCTTTAATAAAAAAAATCTTCCCGTTTGTTGCAAACTTTTTTTTGTCACACCCTGTACAAACAATTCCTCACACTCTTATCTGATATAAGGCACCAGTCTTGGCCCGAAACATCGCCTCAACAACACGAAAAAAAACATAAAAAAAAAACAAAATAACCCTAAATAAAAATAAAAAAATCTAGGCCAAACAAACCAGCCACAAGGCTTCCACGACGCCGGTTTTTTTTTACCCCCTTCCAGGACAAACCTCTTTGGCGAATATCCACGGATCCACCCGTGGCGGCACCTGTGAGATATGCAAAAACTTCTGCGACTTGTACTTGTCCTGTATGGCGTGCTGAGGGCTGGTTGCCGCTTTGCAAAAGGCCCTTTGCAAGAATTCGAGGCAGGGTTGGAGCTGATCCAGGGTGTACATGGTGGTCTCGGTGAAAGATTGTGGCCAGCAGGGGGTTAGTTCGAGGGTATGCCGCGCGAGGGCTATGGCGCTAGCTGCCAGAGTGCTGGGGATGTATTCGAGGTAGGTTTCGCCTTCGAGAAGGGTTAGTTCGCAAAGAAACTAGAAAAAAAATATATTTTTATCAGGGTGCAATGATTTAAATCAACTTTTTTTCATAGCAACTGTTAAAATTGCCTTATATCTATCAAAAATAGAAGATAAAATAGTACTTATTGCAGCTAAACGATGAGATTTTTACAAATTGTAAGTTTGGGATTCGTTGAAGGACTATTAGAGGTACAATTTAAAAATATTTTTACAAGATACAGAGTGTCCCAAATAAGTAAAAAATATCAAAGTTGTATTTTTTTAAATGGAACACCCTGTATATTATTACATTTTTAGTTTCCACGATTAAAATAAAGGTAAATTTGATTAAGATTTATTATACTTAAACCTTACCGTTTTTGAAATATTTTCAATTTTGTGAAATTGCAGTAAAAATTTTAAGGCTTCATTTCTCCAAGGGTATCAAAGTTTTTAATACTAAATATTTACTGAAGTTTATTTACTGATCAGTTATTGTGTTGCAATAATAAAAATAATACTACCTTATACAGAGTGTCTAAAAATTATTTTAAATAATTATTAGTTTCAAACGGCAATAACTTGTTTAATTTAAATGGAACACCCTGTATATTTTACGAGAATCAGATGCACAATTTAATTGTCTATCAAATTGTATTATACCATTTTTTACCTATCTCTTTAAGTTTCCGTAGAAAATGCATTTTCTTGTAATTTAGAACTTATTTATCAATATACCCATGGACTATTGACATTTTAGATTATTTTTAAAGATGTACCAAATTTTTAAAGAGTACAGATACTAATATTGTCGATATAATTCGTTTATTTCATTAAAAAATAAAAAAAACTGATTAAATATTTGTTAAAGAGGACCAATTAATATGATTCCAGTATTAAAACTACATTAACTGACTGTTTGCGTTGATTAATAATAATTGCTCCAAATACTAAAAAACTGAATTTTGTATGGGCATTAGACAGTGTGATAAAAAATAACACCTTAAAAATGATATTTCATTTTTTAATAAATGCTTATTTATAACAACAAAGACTTTAATTTGATAACTTATTATTATATTGATTTCTGACTCAAAAATCCACATTTATTTATAATAATTTATTAACGAACACAATTAAGTATGTCATTAATTAGTATATGGGCGGAAATAACGGTGTTATATTTAATTAATGGTATACTCTTTTATAAAGATTTAAATAGTTTTCTTTTTGCATACAAATGGGCTAGTCATATTATCGTTTTGCTAAAAACGATAATATTACTAATCTGTACATTTTGTACATTTGTTGCTTTAAAAACAATCTAAAATGTCAATATTCCATGGATATATTGATAAATGAGGTCTAAATTATAAGAAAATGCATTTTCTACGAAAACTTGAAGGGATAGGTAAAAAATGGTATAATACAATTTGATAGACAATTTAATTGTGCATCTGATTCTCCTAAAATATACAGGGCATTCCATTTAAATTAAAGAAGTTATTGCCGTTTGAAGCTAATAATTATTTAAAATAAATGTTTAGACACTCTGTATAAGGTGGTATTATTTTTATTATTGCAACACAATAACTGATCAATAAATGAACTTCATTAAATATTTAGTATTAAAAACATTGATACCCTTGGAGAAATGAAGCTTTAAAATTTTTATTGCAATTTCACAAAATTGAAAATATTTCAAAAACGGTAAGGTTTAAGTATAATAAACCTTAATCAAATTTACCTTTATTTTAATCGTAGAAATTAAAAATGTAATAATATACAGGGTGTTCCATTTAAAAAAATACAACTTTGATATTTTTTATTTATTTGGGACACTCTGTATCTTGTAAAAATATTTTTAAATTGTAGCTCTAATAGTCTTTCAACGAATTTTATCGTCTTGTATAAAAAATAACTATGATTTAAATCAAGGAATTTTAATCATGGATTTAAATGTCAAAGAAAACTGAGAAAAAAAGAGTATTATAATCAGGAAAAAGAAACCGGTGACAATAAAAAAACTAAAAATAATAATCTAGGCCCTAAAATTATAGGACACCCAAAACAAATACGACTAGAAGGTGTTAATAGAATTTTAAACCAAATTAATCACTTACCATTGCTAAAAACTTAGTCTTCTCCTCAAGTTTGTTCATGCTGCACATCGACGTGATAAAAGTCAGTGGCGTGGGCACCGACAAATCGAAACCCAAAACCTTCACAATCAAATGCTCCATCCTGATCACCTGCCTCTTCGTATACGTATCGTCCGTAATGTAAACAAATTCCGCAATATCAGGAGGATAAATTTCCTCATATTTACTAAAAAAAAATACAAAAATAACCTTACACCGTTGATTAAAAAAAAAATAAGAAGATGCGCAACATAATGGACGATTTCATGGTACAAAACCTGTCTGAGATGTAGCTGACATTACGTCAGCCTGTCCGAGAATTCCGAGATTTAGTTTAGCTCGGCGCCGCTGCGCACCGATAGTCGTTTACAGCGCAGCAAAGAATACTGTACCGTAGTTCTGTTTTCAGTCGACAGAGCGAGTGATTGCCGAAGACAGTGTTGCCAGAACTACCGATTAATCCGTAGATTTACGGATTTTGGCTACAGTACGTTAATAATACGGATTTTCTATCGTTAAACAATTTAATAGATTATATGATTAAAGAAAGAACGGCGTCAGAGTTGGCTTGGAAATAAAAATCGCTTTTATTTCATATGTAAAATATTATAGTAAATATCCAAGCCATCTAAACTACTTTTTTCGATCATATGACACATATTCAGTACCTATAAAAGAATTTTTATTTTTGTTGTTTATTTTATGTTTAACACGAATAAATTTTCAATACATAAACGCGGATTTTTCATCCAAAGATATTTTCGTCAAACGTATTACAGATGTTACGCATTTTAATATGGCAACACTGTCGCTTTCAGATCCACGCCGTCTTCGATATACCTTCGCTGGCCGAATTAGAGAAAATAAGTGTTTTATGCGTTGACCGCAGAACGATTGGTGTCTCCACCGTACAGCGCTTGAAACGTAATAATTATTCGTCCATTAGGTTGCGTATCTTCCCAATTCTTACGTGGATAAATCAACGCCATAAGTTTAGCATTAAAAATTATGTCCCCAACATCACGGCATGCCATTTTCAGACCTTCTTTATTGCACTTATGAAACGTGCAATAGGTTTGCCTTTCTCGAGGACCTTACTTTGCGCATGCGCATTAAAAGTTGCACGTATTTCCAAAATAGTCACAACTTTATACGGTTTAGAAAATACAAATTATACATTGTTATAGAAACCAACTTTTCATTGTCATCATATATTGTCATAATCTTATTTCCATTTATCCAAAAAAATCCTTATGAGTTTTTCGCCACTGCACTGCAAGAAAAATCTACAAAATAAAATAGTTATTTTTTGTAAACACTTCTGGCGTTAAACCTAAACAGACGCTGCTTGTCAGAAGTTGTGTTTACAGTAATAAAAATTTGCCTAACAAAGAAAAAAATGCTTAACGTTTCGGAAAGTTTTCTCTTTCCGTCGTCGGAAGCAAAAAAAAAATCTGTTTAAAATATTTAAATTGAACTATTCGAGAACACTTTACTTTTTAAAACAGATACGTCTACAAGAAATCGTTGACGTTCTGTTAAAATGACATTATATTAAGTTAAACTTCAAAATTAACAATTACTACCTGATAATTACTTAATAAGGTAAAACCAAAAAGCCCAAACTTTCTGTATGATTATATTTAAATTTTACGTATGTTATGTTTATTTATGTTATGTTCTTTAAAATCAAAGAAGCGATGGCCATACATTACTAATATCTACAGATGCATGAGCAATACATTTATTTGTATTAGATTGAATTAAAAAAGCCTCTTTTATTTTTCTTTTTGAGGCTATCGCTTCTTTCATTATAATTTTGGCGTTATTAAAATTTATTTTGTGCCTTGTGTCCCATGAATGCTGACAAATCTTAGATTTGTGAAAATCTCCCTTTCTTAAATAATCTTTATGTTCTTTAATTCTAACATTTAAGGGTCTAGATGTTTCACCAATGTAAAATTTATCGCATTCACAGGGTATTTGGTATATAACACTTTACATTTTTTTTTACATACGAGGCGTTTCGGAAAAAATAAGAAGGATAGGAAAACAATATAACATACAAACATCTTTCAAAACACAAAATACGCTTAGATCAATTTTATCACATACTAAACCAATGAATACAGAACAACAAACAAAAAATGTAATATACTAAATACCCTGTGAATGCGATAAATTTTACATTGGTGAAACATCTAGACCCTTAAATGTTAGAATTAAAGAACATAAAGATTATTTAAGAAAGGGAGATTTTCACAAATCTAAGATTTGTCAGCATTCATGACACACAGGGCACAGAATAAATTTTAATAACGCCAAAATTATAATGAAAGAAGCGATAGCCTCTAAAAGAAAAATAAAAGAGGCTTTTTTAATTCAATCTAATAAAAATAAATGTATTGCTCATGCATCTGTAGATGTTAGTAATGTATGGCAATCGCTTCTTTGATTTTAAAGAAGATTACATAAATAAACATAACATACGTGAAATTTAAAAATAATCATACAGAAAGTTTGGGTTTTTTGGTTTTACCTTATTAAGTAATTATCAGGTAGTAATTGTTAATTTTGAAGTTTAACTTAATATAATGTCATTTTAACAGAACGTCAACGATTTCTTGTAGACGTATCTGTTTTAAAAAGTAAAGTGTTCTCGAATAGTTCAATTTAAATATTTTAAATAGTTTTTTTCTTAATTCTTTATATTTTTTTTTGCTTCCCACGACGGAAAGAGAAAACTTTCCGAAACGTTAAGCATTTTTTTCTTTGTTAGGCAAATTTTTATTACTGTAAACACAACTTCTGACAAGCAGCGTCTGTTTAGGTTTAACGCAGAAGTGTTTACAAAAAATAACTATTTTATTTTGTAGATTTTCTTGCAGTGCAGTGGCGAAAAACCCATAAGGATTTTTTTGAATAGATGAATTCGCCACATAGGTATACACACATTTTTTACTTATTTCCATTGTGTAACGACGCTTGTTTTTTGCGTTTTTTATTTTAAAAATTGTGTTAATTACTCTTTTATCGACCGCTTTTATATAGCCAAGAATACAAGTGTGTTCAGTAAGAAGTTAATTTTATGTTTGTGCACTATATTTCTATTTTTTTTTCGTTGGACTTTCTAAATACTCATAAAAATGACTAAGTGTTTAGTGTGTGAAAGCTCTAATAATATAAAAGTCCCCGAATTATCTTTTCATAGGCAAGTGAAGTATTCTCTCTCTCAGTTGTACTTTTATTTATATTAAGCCACATCACAGGCCACATGTATACTTTCTGGTTAGATTTCCTAAGAATATTGATATTCGTACAGAGTGGCTAAATGTATTTTTTTATATAATTTAACTTTTAGGGGTGTAAACATTCAATTTATTGTTCAAATATAAGCATTTTACAAATTAAATTTTTAAAATTAATGTTCAAATTTGGCGCGCGGACGATAGGTCCTCGAAAAGGATAGACCACGAGTAGAAGCACCGCGTGTGCGACAAAAAAAGAAGATAAATGGAAGTCGTTGATATGTTTGCGACAGTTTCCATAGCGGTTTACTTATCGGGACATAGGAAATCCCATGTAAATTTTAATGGGGTCAATTATTGGCTTCCCTAATTATTTTAGAGAATATTTCTATTTAGGTTTATTGAAGAGCACTAAAACCCACGTTCAAAAGAATAACTTTAGATAATTTTGATTAGCCTGTTTACGAGTTATTGCCGATTTCTTTTTAAATATTTCTCCTTTCTTATGGCCCTGTATTCACTTATGAGCACCAGTCAAGGTAAAAGATAACTGTCATATGAAGTTGTCATTTCAGAAATTTACCTATTTAGTGCTTTATTATTATTATTAAAAACTCATACCTACAATGAAAATATTAGCCATGAATTACATTACCGAAGAAAAAGTATTGATGATTAAATGGTATTATCTAGGAAATAGTTATCAAAAGGTGTCAGACATCTTTGCTGTTCTGTATCCGAATAGACCGATACATGGAAAATCTACAATCGGAAAGAATATCCAGAGATTTCAGACCAAAGGTACCCTAATAAATAACTGCAGATGTGAAGCAAGGCAGGAACAAAGAGAAGATGCAAGAAATGATACCGACTTGGAAGTTTTATTGTGCGTGGAAGAGAACGATGGAAAGATCAGCACAAGGAAACTTGAGGATGAAATAGGAATAGATCACACTACAGCGTTTCGAATTTTGAAACGACATAAATACTATTCCTTCAAATATGAAAAGCACCAAGAGCTACGAGATGGGGACGAAATACGGCGGCAGGCGTTTTGTTTTGATATGATGGAAAGAGCAAACACGGATAGGGAACTTTTAAAAAACATATGTTTCACTGACGAATGCACGTTTACCTTGAATAATGAACCAAATGTTCAAAATTACCGATATTGGAACAAAGAAAACCAACACAGGTTTGTCGAAACAAGGACGCAATATACCAAGAAAGTACGCGAAATTTAAATGCAGAATATTATTTGGAACTACTCCAAAATCATATTTTAACTGCTTTATATGATGCCACTAGGGAAAATCAGGAAATTTGGTACCAAATGGATAGCTACCCGGCACATAGTACCCTAGCTGTTCGGGAATATTTAGACAATAGTTTTAACGGAAACGTTATTGGCCTAAATCATGCAGTAAATTGGCCAGCAAGGTCTCCTGATATTTCGATTTAATGATTTTTTTCTCTGGGGCCATTTAAAAAACAGGATATATACTGTTTTTTTTCTCAGGTAAGATTTCGACAGACGATGACAGAAGAAAAGCAGATGACGTCCCATACCAATCTATTTATTTTACTAAAAAAATTTCTAATAATTTTTAAGTTAACTATGGATGGGTTTAAATATAAATTCGTCATGCATCGTCACTTGTTTTTAACCAGTCTTATTGGTTTATTTCAAAAATGACAGATCGTATTTCAATTTTATTGGTTTGACGGAACGATGAACGACAAACGGACGCCGATGCGTATGAACTCGCCTTTAGATTTTTGACGTTTGTCAAAGTCTTGCCAAATTATAGGTTATAATTTTGTGACAACTTTTGTCAAATACCCTGCGTTTTGGAAGATGATGCATTTTGATTCGTGTTATTACGTGTGTTTTGTGTCTTTTGAAGTCAAGTGGAGGAAAAATCGAGTGAAAATTAACTGTAGAACCCAGAGCACAGTTTATGGTTAATACTCGCTGCCCAGGCAGAAAGTCTTATACAGATACACCAATAAAGTTACTATCAATAAAGTTCGTATACCATCTCGTCGTAGATAAGTGCATCTCGAATATGGTAGAAGGACCATACTAAACATACTAAAAACTGGAGTAGTTGTAAAATATCGACATCACACGATAGGTAAACAATGGATTGTAGTACTGCAGAAAAATAATATCAAAAGGTACTGGTTTAAAAAAATTAAGATTAAAGTTAATTAATCAACCTGTGAGGTATAAAATTTGGTGTTAATATTAATAAAATAGTTTGTTTTATTTATGTTGTTTTATTTATTCCTGCGGAATATTACAAATTTGTATTTGTGCATAAGTTATATTGATAAATATAATCCTAAATGCGGGAAGTTTCATAAAGCTTGAAAGTAAGAAATAGTTCTTTTTTTTATATTTTTTGGTATGTGGTGTCTTGTTTTTGTTTGTTTTGTATTAACACATACCGTTTTTTATTAAATAAAATAACTCGATTACATTTTTTCAGTTTTATACAGTTTTTTTCACAATATTTTGAAGTTACTTGTAAGTCAAATTTTAAATACATATATATTAATTTCCTGCTATGCGTTCCAGTTGTACCAACTTATTTCTTTGTAAAATAAAATAAACTACTTTGAAATTAAAATGACAGACACATCTATCACTGTCAAGGATCTTCTCGTTGGATAGACTATACAAGGATAAAAAATACCCAAATCTAGACCAGTTAAAAAATGCTATTTCTGCCGAATGCAATAGAATTTCAGTTTACCAACTAGCGAATGTAAGAATAGAGTTTTATAATCGCCTGTGCTATTGTCTAGCAGTCAATGGAGGAATATTTGAACATCTTCTTAAATCCTAAAGTTCTAACAATTTAATAGTACCTAAATTAATAAGTTATTGAATATAGTAATAATACTATAGTTAACCTTGTAATTGATTACTTTATTTTACTTTAATTCATATTAATTTGTATTTATAAATACATCTTTAAGATTTCCGATGTAGGAATGAGTTTTCAATAATAATAAAGCACTAAATAGGTAAATTTCTGAAACGATAACTTCATTTGACAGTTATCTTTTACCTTGACTGGTGCTCATAAGTAAATACAGGGCCATAAGAAAGGAGAAATATTTAAAAAGAAATCGGCGATAACTTGTAAACGTAAAAGTTATTCTTTTGAATGTGGGTTTTAGTGCTCTTCAATAAACCTAAATAGAATTATTCTCTAAAATAATTAGGGAAGCCAATAATTGACCCCATTAAAACTTACATGGGATTTCCTATGTCCCGTCCGACGATGCAACACGCGGTATATGATCTAGGGTTTAACCTCAAAAAAAAAAAACTTACGAAGCTATAAACATTGCAGCCGTCCCGACTAATTGCAGCTTAGCCCGAACCACAGACATATAACTCAGGAACCTGTCAATGTAATTGACAGCCAGATACAGGGTTTCAGTGTGCAGCTTGTACTCCTCCGCAACCTCGACCAACCAATCCACCAGAATCGACCTCATGTTCGCTGTCACGTCGGGTTGCTTCTTCATATACCCAGCTTTAGCCCTGTTGCGCAGCTCATGTTCGCGCAAATACCGATAGATGTCAACGCTGTACTCTTCCATGTTGAAGAAATCATCTTTACTTTTTTCTGTTCTTCGAAAAACGACTTCTTCGGTGAACTCGTTCTCGTAAGCCTTCTCAATGCTCATAGGACTAGGAATTGGGCTGGGTACCGGTTCGTTTTTCGAAGAAGGAATAATTCCTTTCCTTTCAAGTTCGGCAACTTCGGTTTTGGTGAAGAACCGATCTTCGGCGGTACCTTTGTAGACGTTTGAGGTGCTTTTGGCTTTGAGGCGTTCCTCGATTTTGGCCAGTTTTTCTTCATCCTCGTATACTTTGAAGGCTTCGAACTGGGCTACAGGGATGATGGGGTTGACTATGTTTTTTCTGTTGTTTTCCTTCTGAGAGTTCCAGTTCTCCTTTTTCTGCATGTAGTTGGGGAGGTTGGAAATTTTTGATTCGCCCAAGGGCTAGATTAGAGAAAAATGTTATTTTAGATCGAACTATACAGGGTTGTTCACCACATACGACACGGAGTATTACAGCTTCTATTTTTATATTCTACAATTGAAATAAAGGTAAATTTGATTAAGAATTAAGACTTATCACACTTAACCCTTGCAACCTTACTTTTGAAATTGCAGTAAAAATTTTAAGGCTTCATTTCTCCAAGGGTATCAGAGTTTTCAACACAAAATATTTACTGAAGTTTATTTATTGATCAGATATTGTATTACTTAATAATAAACAAAATACTACCATATACAGAGTGTCTAAAAATTTCTATTAAATAATTACTAGCTTTAAACAGCAATAACTTGTTTAATTTAAACGGAACACCCTGTATATCTTACAAGAATCAGATGCACAATTTAATTGTCTATCAAATTGTATTTAATATATTATAAATTTTATTTCATATTTTGATGAATGCTTATTTAAAACAGAAAAGTTCTTCATCCTTTTTTTTTGTAAACAAATGGGCTTAAATATTATTATTTTTACCACCTGTACATTTTGTACATACCTATATTGCTTTAAAAAATAATCTAAAATGTCATGGGTATAGTGATAAATGAGGTCTAAATTTTAAGAAAATTCATTTTCTACGAAGACTTGAAGAGATAGGTAAAAAATGGTATAATACAATTTGATAGACAATTAAATTGTGCATCTGATTCACGTAAAATATACAGGGTGTCCCATTTAAATGAAACAAGATATTGCCGTTTAAAGGTAGTAATTATTTAATATAATTTTTGGACACTCTATATAAGGTAGTTTAATTTTTATTATTGCAAAACAATATCTCATCAATAAATAATCTTCAGTAAATATTTAGTATTAAAAACTTTGATACCCTTGGAGAAATGAAGCCTTAATTTTTTTATGGCAGTTTCACAAAATTGAAAATATTTCAAAAACGGTAGTTAGGTTTAAGTGTTATGTACCTTAATAAAATGTACCTTTATTTCAATCATAGAATCTAAAAATAGAATAATATACAGGGTGTTCCATTTAAAAAAATACAACTATAATATTTTTTACTTATTTGGGACACTCTGTATCTTGTAAAATTATTTTTAAAGTGTAGCTCTAATAGTCCTTCAACGAACCCAAAACTTATAATTTGTAAAAATCTAATCGTTTAGCTACAATACTCCGTGTTGTATGTGGTAAACAACCCTGTATATTATTTTTGAACTGCATACAAGGTGTTCAAACAGCTACAAAATTTACAGTATTTTACTACATTTTTCTTGTCTTCTAAATAATTTAAAGAAAAAGTAAAAAAGAAAGAAATAATAAAAAGAAAAAAAAGCATAAAAAAGAGAAAAAAAGTATAGAATAAAATATAAAAAAAAAACAAAAAAAAAGCATAGTGAAGTACATATACTAAAGGTGTTCAAACAGCAATTAGTTATTATTTTTTTTTAGATTTTCTATGTAAAAAAAACCCTAGTAAAAATAGCTCAAGACTTGCAGGAGTCTTGCAGCAAAACCAAGGCTGGATAATGCAAGACCAAGAGAGTTTTGTTCTTGCATTTGCTCTTCACCAAGTGTTAGTAATCCTATTAGAATTGCACTGATGAAGCTTTTATAGTTTTGCCTAATGAACGAGTTCACAAAAATTGAGATTGAGATGTGTATTGAGATCATGTATTAAAAAACAAAACTTTAAAATTACAGCCTGTCCAACAAAAGGATAACATTGACAGTTGTCTGTCATTTTAATGAACCAGTAAATTGTGTTTTCTGTCATTTTTTGGCTGTCATCTGACAAAATCTTCCTCGATTCGTTGGACACACTATAATAAATTTGTTCGAGTTCGAGCATGCTATTGTGAACAGATAGAAAACCTTATATTCTTCAAAAAGTTAAATAAAAGCTCCATGAGTTCAGTAGAACGAATATATTGCACAAATTAACTCATTTTTTGGCAATATTTAGTGTCAAAAAGAAAATATTACGATTTGAACTTGTTTGGTCAGCCATGCTCTTTTAAACTTAGTAGATCGATATCTTACGTTAATCAAGTACAAATATAAGTACAATGTAACGAATTCATACCATAAATTCACAAATACAATATTAAAAAGCCGTTTTTTCAAGACAAACATGTCTGGTGAAGCCATGCACAACCGAACATCATACACCCTCAAATATATGGTAATAACCAAATAATTAAACAAAATAAAGTTTTACCTGTTTGACTTTGAGTCCCTGTCCATTATTTTCGTTCCTGTTTCCGTCAATAACGCCCAAAACCGATCTTTTCTGATTGAGATTCCCTCCATTTAGCATGGCGTTCATCTTGGATCGACCTTGCTCGGGCTTTTGGTTCTCTTGGTCCTCGTAGATTCTTAAACTGGCCATCAATCGGATTTTATCGAAGGAGAAGAACTATAAATACCGAAAAGCTAGTTAAAAAGTACTTTGGTACTTGATTAAAACCGGAAATACTGCGATGAAATGGACCGAATCATCACCCAGGAAGGGCCGTTGGAAAAATCACCAACGGTCGTTTGGATTTTGACAGATGCAGTCCAGTGCGCAGCTGCGTTGCCAGACTTCGTTCAACAAACCTTAATATTTCGAGAAAAATATTAAATAAATATTAAATAGATATTCTATTAGAAATCTACAATAACGAACAGATGAAATTACAGTTAAAAATTTCAATCAATATGATTATAAGGAAAGTTAAAACAATTTAAAACAAATAAGTTTGTAAAATTGTCGTGAACGATAGGGATGGAAGACGAAGTCTGGCAACGTGCGACGATGTCCAACAGCTGAGAAAAAATGTAGAAGTAAACAGGAAACTATACACCGGTAAATAGCCAGATTTGAATTTAAAATTCAGGAATTATACATAAAAATTTGATTTACCTGTCTTATTCTAGTATTTTTGTGATGTTTTCCTGCTCAGGAAAAGCAAGGTAAACTTACGTAAATCCTATCTTCTTCACATATGCTTCTTGAGAATATCTTCACACCAATTTATAGATTCTATAAAGTCCTTTGATGGGTTTTTCTTTATAATGCTTGTAAATAAAATGTGTATAAAGATTTTAAATTAATTTGTGACAAAAATTGTCAACAAATTACTATAGAAACAAAAGTTTCTTTTGATTTTCAAATTTTGGGAAATGACATTGGTATAGAAAACTGTAGGAAATATTACTACACTTTGTTAGGCTAGTGGCGTACAGGTGGCAGCACAGTCCTAAAAATCATTGACGATAAAAATATTAGAAAAACAAGAAAAAACTATAGATTTTCGAAACATAGAAAGATCTTAGAAATAGTTTAGATAAAAGGAACCCTATTAAATATATAATTATGGTAATGTATTGATGGATTAAAATGATGGATTAGTGAAGTAAGAGGACGTGAAATAATGGATTAATTAATGGTGTTCGGGACCGGGTGGATGACGCATATACTTTTTAAAACCGGCTCTCGTTGGCGATCGCCACAAAGTCTATCGAAGCCAGGCCGAGATATATAGGGAAAGGACCGGCCCAGCATTCACAGATATCTTTGTTCTAGGTCTTCTGCTTGATGGCAGGTCTTCAGGAATGTTAATTACCATCCGCCGGCTTTCTTAAGCGCCGTTGCCGATTTGTACACGATTTCCCTAAATCGCATTCCAATTTATAGTTATAATTGAAGGGGTGTTAATATTAGTTTTTAGTGGGGGTGGGGGTTAGTAAGGGGGTATGGGAGGGGGTTAAAAATTAAAAAAAATCGTAACTACAAAATTACAGAAGCTAGCGAAACGCGGTTTTCAATTTACGATTAGAAATAATATTTCCAACAAAATTTGTAATAACATCAAAATCAGTCAAAGTCGCAGTTTTTGAGATAATTGAAACTAAAAGAACTGCCTACCATCTTTTTATTAACATATTTTAGTATGGAAGGCTATACGTGCCTCCCGGCGCCAATTTTTTCTGGTTCTAACGACGTAAAAAGATATATACCTTTTGAAACGTCAAGCATTTTTTGTCGGTTAAGCAAACTTGTTTTAGTAGTAAAAAGCCATTGACAATTTTTTATTTTGTAGATTTCCTTTTCAATAAAAGAAAAATACAGACTGTTTGTGAAGTTTGACAACAACGCATTGATTCCCAATTTTGTGACTGAATGTGGTTCCCACAGTGAAGAAAAAAAAACATATTTATGGACGAGTATGGTTTATGTACCTAATTAATTTTAGAATTTATGCAGGTAATTATATAAGTATTAGAGATAATATTATGTTAAATGCATTAAACTTATAGGGGCTATCGATTTTTTAATTATTAATGATATAAATCATAAAATATGTTTGGTTTTGAGTAAATAGAAAACTTCAGAATAAATATCGACTTTAGATGTATAGAAAATGCTTAAAACAACATAAAATTGTTATCGCAATATTTGAGAATTTTTCGACACACCCTGTAGACATACGTAAATATTTTAGAACGTAATATTTATGCCGAATTCGTAGAAAATCAATCTATTCTGTTCAAAGTGCTATTTGCCTTTGTAATTATGCACATACAAATATCTGCAAATATTGTTTACGTATTGGGATTCGGTAGTCTATGGTATTTTTCGAAAATTATATGCTGCATAACATTCTAATAGTTAAGGTAAATAAACGTACAGGGTGTATTCTAAAACTTTCATGAGCATTCATTCTTTATTGGCTATATAGAATTATACCGGCGAGGCACAAAAAGTACGTTATTCCTCCGAATAGAAAATTATTTTTTTTTCAAACGTTCACTAATAATTTTTCAAACAATTTCAAACGTAGCAAATAATATAAAAAGTAATACCTTGTAAGTAATTATACATTGAGAAACAATGGGTATCTCCTTTGGCACTTAATGTCAGTTTAATAATGTGTTTCTGCACTTTAGTGCTTAGGTCGTAAAAGTGCTTGACTTCTTTTATGTCTAGCCCATATAACACACAATATCGGCAGGATATTCATAGAATGTCGGAATGTCCCATTATAAGATCATCTTATAAAGATGAGGATATCCTTCAGACATCCTATGAATATAGATGATCCTACAGACATAGGATATCCTTCAGACATCCTGAAATCCTGTAGATGTCTCAGAATAGAATATCCTATAGATATCTCTGTCGTATATCTAATGTACATCCAGCTGAGATATCCAAACATGCTCATGATAATAAAATATCCTAATAATATCGTCTAGATATTTAGGAAAAATAAATAATGTACTACTTTTTATATTACATAAAATGCAATAAAGCATACAGATAGATATATATTACGTCAAGGCAACAAAATATCCTGTTGGTATCTTCTGGATAATCTGGATATTTATGAGCTTGGCCACTCCCAGCAATACAGAGAATTTAAAACGCCCGCGCAAAAAATTTCCCACAATCCATCTCGACAGTTGTTTGTTTTTGCATCGTGTATTATTCAGTTCTTTGATTTAGTGGAATTCGAGGTGAATTCGGTCGTTTGTCGATATTGAATGGGCTTAAAAATGACCGAAACTAATAAAACTGGTTGAGTTTGACTTAGTTTTTTCTTATACTTCTAGTCCTAGCCTGGTTCTAGCAGAAATTCTATCCTAACCTCAACTAATGTCGAAAAACGACGAACGACTCAGGGTCTCACAATGAAAAATTTGTGACAAAATTATAGGTGAAAATTTGTTGAAAAGCGCTTGTTCTTTATCCCTTAAACGGTTTAAAACACCAGTTAATTTTATCATTTTCGATCTTCATCCTGATAGGTATTTTGTCTCCAAAATGAACTAAAAATCTTTTAAAATCTGATATTGCACCATTAGGTCGTGTCCATGTTAGAGATACCCAGATAGGAACACCCAGATAAAAGGAACAGGTGAAGAAATTCAAGATTTTACCCTACCAAGCAGACTTCTTGTCTTCTTCCTTGTTTATATTTTAGCAGCTGATTTTATTTTCTTTTTTTTTAATACAGGTGATTCTTTGTTATTGAATCGAATTCAAAGGTATCGTCATCTTAAATTATTCTTCTTCTATGCAGTATGTCCGATAACCTTTTTTATTATTGACATTTTGAGAAAAATGCATTCTTTATAAAAAAATTTTCTTTGTTCTAAAAATGTTAATCCTTAACTTAAAAATAAAAAAAAATATAAAAAAAGTTTCCATATAAGTTCAGTTAACCTATAAACAGTTCAGTAAACCTATATGAAAGTCTAGAACAAGCTTTAATAAACACCTCTTCAAAGAACAGTATCTTAAAACATGAATTTTCCATTTTTTCGTATACTACAAAGAAAATTAGAGATAAAACTCAGTAAAAACCACTTTTAGCAAGAAACGACATGTGTTTCTTGAAAATATAGACAGACAAACATATTAGAATAAACATATTAGAATAAAAATGCCCCGAAGAAAAGTAATAGAGACTATTTTACAAGACCTGGGGCATCAGCTTCGTATACTAAAAAGAAAATTAGAGATAAAACTCAGTAAAAACCACTTTTAGCAAAAAACAACATGCGTTTCTTGATAATTACTATCACATAAACATATTAGAATAAAAATGCCCCGAAGAAAAGTAATAGAAACAATTTTACAAGACCTGGTTCATCAGTTTCGTAACTATAAAGAAAATTAGAGATAAAACTCAATAAAAACCACTTTTAGCAATTAACGACATATGTTTCTTGATAATTACCATCAGATAAGCATATTAGAATAAAAATGCCCCGCAGAAAAGTAATATAAACAATTTTACAATACCTGGTGCATCAGCTTCGTAACTACAAAGAAAATTAGAGATAAAACTCAATAAAAACCACCTTTAGCAAATAACGACATATGTTTCTTGATAATTACCATCAGATAAACATATTAAAATAAAAATGCCCCGAAGAAAAGTAATAGAAACAATTTTACAAGACCTGGTTCATCAGTTTCGTAACTATAAAGAAAATTAGAGATAAAACTCAATAAAAACCACTTTTAGCAATTAACGACATATTTTTCTTGATAATTACCATCAGATAAACATATTAAAATAAAAATGCCCCGAAGAAAAGTAATAGAAACAATTTTACAAGACCTGGTGCATCAGCTTCGTAACTATATAGAAAATTAGAGATAAAACTCAATAAAAACTACTTTTAGCAATTAACGACATATGTTTCTTGATAATTACCATCAGATAAACATATTAGAATAAAAATGCCCCTGAAGAAAAGTAATATAAACAATTTTACAAGACCTGGTGCATCAGCTTCGTATACTAAAAAGAAAATTAGAGATGAAACTCAGTAAAAACCACTTTTAGCAAAAAACGACATGCGTTTCTTGATAATTACCATCAGATAAGCATATTAGAATAAAAATGCCCCGAAGAAAAGTAATATAAACAATTTTACAAGACCTGGTGCATCAGCTTCGTATACTAAAAAGAAAATTAGAGATAAATCTCAATAAAAACCACTTTTAGCAATTAACGACATATGTTTCTTGATAATTACCATCAGATAAACATATTAAAATAAAAATGCCCCGAAGAAAAGTAATAGAAACAATTTTACAAGACCTGGTGCATCAGCTTCGTAACTATATAGAAAATTAGAGATAAAACTCAATAAAAACTACTTTTAGCAATTAACGACATATGTTTCTTGATAATTACCATCAGATAAACATATTAGAATAAAAATGCCCTGAAGAAAAGTAATATAAACAATTTTACAAGACCTGGTGCATCAGCTTGTATACTACTAAAAAGAAAATTAGAGATAAAACTCAGTAAAACCACTTTTAGCAAAAAACAACATGCGTTTCTTGATAATTACTATCACATAAACATATTAGAATAAAAATGCCCTGAAGAAAAGTAACAGAAACAATTTTACAAGACCTGGTGCATCAGCTTCGTAACTACAAAGAAAATTAGAGATAAAACTCAATAAAAACCACTTTTAGCAAATAACGACATATGTTTCTTGATAATTACCATCAGATAAACATATTAAAATAAAAATTCCCCGAAGAAAAGTAATAGAAACAATTTTACAAGACCCGGTGCATCAGCTTCGTAACTATAAAGAAAATTACAGAT